AAAAAGGAAAAGGGTTAAAAGGAAAGTTGCAGATAGACCATTTTACTCATGAACTAAAACTTAAAAGGTTGGCATATTAGTCTCTATTGCAGTCTAACGACTTGCAGCACATCAAAACTTTGGTCTGATCTCCTGGGTACTATCAGTTCCACTTATATTGAAGATAAAAAGTTTTGATAGTACTTGCAAGAAAGTTGCATATGCAGACCCTTCCCAATTGGGTGTTTCTGGAACCAAAAAAAATAATACCGATATAGAACACACCAAAAAGTGAATTCCCCAGTATATCATTGAGTAAAGCGAACTAACATGCAGATAGAAATAAACTCTTTTTCTCAAGTAAATGAGATATCTAACCTTTGAAGATGTATCCAGATGTTCTAAAGGTAAGTTCTCTCTCCTACACTCCATTCTGTGGAAAACATTAAGCACCTGCCTTGCTTTTCGAGGACTTTCTTCGAGTTTTGATGCAAGCCAAACACAACTAGCAGCAACCCTCTGCAAAAGTTAACACAAAAGAACCACACGTCAGCATGGACAGCACACTTTTCCTTTAGAAATAAGAGCGAGTTGGGGCAGAGGGGAAGAGAAAGAAACCTTCACATTAAAACGAGCAAATGATTTCTTGCAGTAAAAGCGATGAAAAAGTACTTGACCTGTGGCCATTACAGCTTGGGGTCTGCAAATTATAGTGTTAAGGAGACACCCAAAGCCAAAAGCAGTGAACTTTATAGTATTAGAAAAGTAACTCAGCTGGTATGATTATATCAGATTCATATATCTTCATGTTAACTGACATAAAAAAGGATACAATCTGAGCAAAATCCCACTTTCTTGGATAAGATCACAGCCATAGATTCTAAGTGTTGTTTCAGTAACATCATCGATACCATCTTTCCTAGAAGGGGAGTTTATAAGCTGCTCCTCTGTTAGATAGAATGTGTCTAATGCCGTGTAAATCATAGTTGAACTTCAAGAATCCCCTATAAACTGCAACAAGAAACAAAATTTGGATAACCCCACTAAACTGTATAAACAAACTTTACTACAGCTTATATCAGTATCTATCACAGAAAACCTACATCATGTATAACCAACACATACCCAGAAACAAAAACAAAAACAAAAAAACTTTTTCCCCCTCACATTCCCATGAATTTTTCCATAAACAATTAAGCTAAAAGCAATTAAATTAACAAAGAATTGATTGTGGATCCATGAATAAATAACTATAGGATTAGGAGCCAAAAAGAACATACCCACAAACCCTAGAATCCTAATTGTGAATATTTATGTATATTATATACTCCATAAAGCAGTGTTTAGAAGAATTTGAAAGCTTTACTTACAAGGGGGGGTTTCAGTGACGACCTCTAATTGTCAACAAGAACTCCGTTGTCGTTGAATTGAAGAAGAGAAAACTGCTACTTTCCCTAATTCGCTTCGGCCAAATATATATGTTTTGTTTCTTTGTTTATTTTATTCCTCGAAGCCAAATGGAGAAGAATGAATGGAATAACTGAAAATAAATAGTTAAATTACACTTTACCATCTTAGTCTTTTGGGTTTGAAAATACCTCCTTCACCTTTTATATGTGACATTAACTCTCTTAAATTTAAAGCAATGGCTAAAAATGAGCTTATTGAATTACATAATAGAAATCAAAATGAAAATTATATGAACATGCTAAAAAGACTTAACTTATAAAAGTATCAATTAAATATTATTTCCTAATTATGTTATATTACCTTTATTTTATGAGAGAAAAAGAAATTATCTAATTATATCTCATCTAATATTACACAATCTCTTTATATAGATACCTCTACTTTGAATAAATAAAACAAGAGACAAGATTTTATATCAAACTTATATAATACTGATATACATAGTTGAACCCATAGGAAAAGCTAAAATCTATCTGCACAAAAACTATACACTAAGTAGCGTTTGGACATGAATTCCATTTTTTTTTTCAAATTTGGAATTTTACTAAAATTTGAATTGAAGATGAAGTTGTGTTTGGTTATAATTTTTGTAACATATTTGGATATCGTTTTTTCAAAACCATGAAACATGATTTATACCCCACAACTTGTAAAAAATATCAAAACCACCCCAATTTGATTATCCTACTTGAAATAAACAACCCCTTGCCGGATTGGGATGGCAAAGGACACTTTGGTGAGAAGAAGACCTATGCGTTTTGTGTTTCTTTGGGTAGTTGTAGGTTACTAACTGATGGGGTTATTTTATAAATTTTATAAATATGGGGTAAATTTATAAAATCAAAAACTAGCAAATTCCCATTTTTAATTGAAAAATTGGTTCTTACCAATTCTCAAATTTGAAAATGCATTTTCAAGTGAAATTGGAAAAATTAGTAAGAGTTTGATAACCAAACATTATTTTCAAAAATAAAAAATTGAATAAAAGGAAAAATTTTCTATGTCCAAACGACTCCTAAATCTATCTCTAAATGTAAAAATGGAAAAGACTGAATAGCAATCCAAATATTTCCATTACTTGTCCCTTTCAAAGTTTCGATATTTGCGTTACGGACTGGTAGAGAGAGAAGCTCTGACTTCTCTCTAAACAGCTACCTTTTTCACATTCCCTCATAAATTTTCTTCTTCTCGATTCTGTCCAAATGCAACTCCCAACCTCCAGTCTAGACTCGATCCATATTTCCCCCAAACCACCAAACGATTTAAATTCCTCAAAATCACAAAAAGCTCAGGAGTTGGACGAACAAACCAGTACTCAAACATCTGTTCCCACATCCGCTCCTTCGTTCAAAGAAAAACTCCTTCAACAAAAGGACCTTATAGATATAAACATGGATTTCTCAAAACTCTTACCACCCTTCCCCGAAGATCAAGATCAGGAGATGGCTACTCCAACCCCAGAAGATGAACAAGAAATCAATCCAATTACGGTCCATATTTCATAAGAAAATAAACTGAGAATCTATGAACCCTGGAAATTTTCTCTCATCATTAAACTCCAAAGCAAAAGAACCCTCCATCATATCCTCAAACGTAAAGTACAGGACCTTTAGAAATTACAGGAAAACTTCCCGCTGATAGATTTAGGAAATGATTATTTTGTGGTCAAACTACAAAACAAAGACAGTATGATCTCGATCCTTCAAAATGGACCATATTTTATATTTGGTTATTTCCTTTCTATCCAAAGGTGGCAACCAAATTTTGTAGCAACGGAAGCTACCCAAGCATACTCAGCGGTGTGGGTGAGACTACCTCAATTCCCCACGGAATTCTACGATGGCCAACTTCTACAAAAAATAGGTACTGCCTTGGGAAGACTACTTAAGGTGGATGCATGCACTTCATCCTCCTTGAGAGGAAGATACGCTAGGCTCTGCACAGAGCTACCATTGGGAGTCCCAGTATTAAAATTCATCTACATTGGCACCCATAAACAACCTATTCTCTACGAAGCAGATCATTTCCTATGTAAAAACTGTGGTAAACTAGGACACCTAACAAAAAACTGCTCCATAATATTAGACAACAAAAAAATTTTCTAATGTTACACAACCACAGAACCCTCAATCCAGTGACAAAACCCCAGTCACACTAGATGGTTGGCACACAGTTGCCTTGTCAAGAAATAAAAAGAAGCAGGATCAAAGGAGAAGCAAGGCAGTAGCTGTTACAAATCAGGATCCCAACATTGAGGTAAAACTATTCGATGCTGCCACAGGTAAGTATTTAATCACAAAGAAATTAAAATACATTGCAAAAAGCACTGTAGTAAACTCTGCAAATTACAAGTCAAATTCTACAAATGATCTTACATCTCTCAAACCAACGACCATAGGAACTCCTTTTCAGATAAAAACAGTTTTTCATCCTTGGATCAGAAAACCATCAAATGGTTTTGGACAATACTTCCGACCAAATTAACCCAAGCCCTACGAACCCGGTTTGCATGAACCCAAACCATCCAGTTAAACCAATACATGTATCTACAAATCCGCTAAAAGACAAAAATGATACCCCTATCCCTAATAGCACTAATAACCACTATAACCCTTTAGATACTGACACAAGGCTCCTTAACACAAATAATAATGAGCCTATAATCTCTACTCAACCAATCAAAGACCATATTAGTCTAGATAATCAGCATGCTCAATCCCTAACGGCTGACACCCCTACTATCAACTCCCATTTGTCTAACACTTGGGAACACGTGCCCAAACAAATCCATGCAAAATCCTCTATTAAACCTAGCACGCTAAACGATCCAGATTGCATGCAAATTGAATCAATCATTACTTGATCTCACGCACCGGACCCCTTAAATCCCACCTACAACTCCCATCACAATGCCCAGAATCACCATCAACCCAAGGAGAAGGTTCAGGCTCATCCAAATCTTAAGGAACCATCGTCCATCAACTATGGACAACCTCCCTCCCCCCCCTCTCCACAGTTGCAAAACATTCCTCTCTACTATGCACAACCTCCACTCCCCCAGGATCACCACCCAACATCTTGGTTGGAACTGGGATTAATGGGGATGGGAGTGTCACTACAACTCAACCTAAATGGCCAAGAAAGCATTATCCTGATTCAGAACCCCCAGTTTCTTGCTCAACTGGTAGCGGAGGGGCTACACCTAGCGATGAAAAATTACATGAACCAAATCTGGGCCAACAACATTATGCAACCACTTGCCCCAGGAATGAACAACAACCTCCTCCAAAACATGCATGCCCAGTGGAATCTCCCACTCCCCTTCAATCAGAACCCATATCTCCCTCAGAATATGGGAGTAGACCTTCCCTTCTCCCCTCCCCCCCGAGAGCTAACTGCCTTGAACCCACTCCTAATGGTTTGGGACCCCATGGTTCCCATACAACAACCTCCAGTGCCCATGAACGTGGGGAACATGGAGCAGGAACCTCCACAACCTCCCATTCCCCAAGAGGTAGGAAACCAGATGGGGGAAGAAATAGTCGAGCCAGTAGACCTAATAGGAGAATCGATGGTGGAGTCAACAAACCTAGACGAAGTTAAGGTCTTTCTCTTCGAGGAGATGCGAGAGAAGAGGCATATTCTAGCCTGTCCAAATTCACTCTTCAAATGTACAATGGACATCCGTCCACCACAAGATCCCACTGTGGGAAAGAATGCAATGATCCTTGTGCCAAGCCTGAGAAGGAATCCAGTATTCCGGACAGGGAACTTAGTGAATGGGCACCAACAACCTCAACCTCTCCAAATGAATCATGCTAAGACTATGATTATATGGAATATTAGGGGAGGGAACAACGATGATTTCAAAATGAATTTTCGTGAATTGGTCAATACACACCATCCATGCATGGTCACTCTCCTTGAAACTAGAATGACCTCCCATAGCAGTCTCATGCATGAATATGGCTTCTCTGACATGATCGAGGTGCCCTCTGAGGGCCAATCAGGATGTCTAGCAGTGCTATGGGACACAACCATGGTTAATGTGCACAACTTTGTTAGAAGGAACAATGAAATTAATGCTCTAATTGAGGTACTCCCTATCCGTCACTCTTGGATTTTTTCTTCAGTTTACGCTAGTACAAATATTAGCAAAAGGAATTTAATGTGGGATAATATATGCAACATCTTTGATCACTATAAAGGCCCTTCGCTTCTTGGGGGGGGGGGACTTCAATGATGTGTTACATGCCAATGAAAAATGAGGGGGGGGGGGGGTAATCCAGTCAACAGAAATCGGGCTAATAAAATATGGAATAGGTTAAATTACTGCAATCTTATAGATCTTGGCTTTAAGAGGCCTAAATATACATAGTCCAATAATAGAAAATTAATTTCGAGTCATATTATGGAAAGGTTGGATAAAATCTTTACTAACAACTCTTGGATCAACCTATTCCCCAAAGCTAGTGTTGTTCACCTCCCAAAAACACACTTTGACCATAACCCCCTTAAACTAGAACTACTTCCTAAGCATAATTATAATCTACCTCGACCTTTCAGGTTGGAAACTTTTTGGACAGAACACCCAGAGTTTGCTTCATTAGTTAAAAAAAGCTGGGCTGATAATATTTATACTGAGGCCGTTAACTCCTTTAAGGATTCCATCACAAATTGGAATAAAATCACCTTTGGTAACCTTCCTAGGATGAAGAAAAAATTATTAGCCAGAATTAACGGCATCCAAAATTCAAAAGCCTATGGTCATAGTGTATTCTTGTCCAATTTAGAGGCTAACCTCAGAGTGGAGTTTAACAATTGCCTCCGGATGGAGGAAGACTACTGAAAACTAAGAGCTAGAATAAATTGGCTAAACGAAGGTGACTGTAACTCCAAATTTTTCCACATAAGTGCCACAAACAAAAGACGGATTAATAAAATAGTTTCTTTCAAAGACTCAGAGGGGAATTGGATAGATGACCCGTTAAAAATTATGGAGCATACTACTTCCTACTTCCAAGATATATTTTCGACAAATCATACATCTTCCAAATGGAAGAGAATAAA